TCCTCCTCCTCCTCCTCCTCCTCCTCCTCCTCCATCGTGGGGCCCTACTCCTCTTCTTCCTCCTTCACTTCTTCCTCATCCACTTCCCAGCCCTCCTCCTCCACCACCTCCTCCTCCTCCTCCTCTTCTTCTTCTTCCTCCTCTAAAACTCCCTCCTCCGCCATCGCCGTGGCCTCCTCCTCCACATTTTTTTTGTCGTCCTCCTCCTCGCCCTCTCCTTCTTCGTGGTCATCCTCCTCCTCCTCACCCTCTTCTTCTTCTTCCTCCTCGTCCCTCCAGTCCCTGTCTACGATGTCCCCGAACTCGTCGTTCTCCGGCCTATCATCGCCGATTCGGTGATGGCATCCTCCTTCACCCGATTTTTTTTTTTTTTTTTTTTTTTTTTTTTTTTACGGTCCAATCAATCAAACAATCAATCAATCAATAAATCAATCTATCAATCTATCAATCTATCAATCAATCAATCAATCAATCAATTAATCAATCAATCAATCAATCAATCGATCGATCGATCGAATATCCCATCGAATCGATTGATCTTCGATAGGATCTTGATTATCAAGATCCTATCGAGTCAATCGATTCGATGGGATCTTCGATCGATCGATCGATCGATTGATTGATTGACTGATTGATTGATTGATTGATTGATTGATTGATTCGACCAAACAAAAAATAAAATAAAATGCGGGGCCTCGTTCTCCTCCCCACCTTCTTCTTCATGCAGGCACTCGTTCACTATCGTCGTGGGCTCCTCCTCCTCCACCTCCTCCTCCTCCTCCACCTCCTCCCCCTCCTCCGCCTCCTCCTCCTCCTCCTCCTCCTCCATCGTCGGGCCCTCGTCCTCTTCTTCCTCCTTCGTTTCTTCCTCATGCACTTCCCAGTCCTCCTTCACCTCCTCCTCCTCCTCCTCCTCCTCCTCTTCTTCTTCTTCCTCCTTTAAGTTTTCTCCCTCCTCCTCCGCCATCGCAGTGGCCTTCTCCTCCTCCACATCTTCTTCGTCCTCCTCCTCGCCCTCTCCTTCTTCGTCGTCATCCTCTTCCTCCTCGCCCTCTTCTTCTTCTTCCTTCTCGTCCCGCCAGTCCCTGTTCAGGCTATCCCCGACCTTCTTCTTCATGCGAACACTCACTCTCTGTCGTTGTGGGCTCCTCCTCCACCTCCTCCTCCTCCTCCTCCATCATCGGGTTCTCCTCTTCTTCTTCCTCCTCCACTTCTTCCTCCTCCACTTCTTCCTCATCCCCTTCCCAGTCCTCGTCCTCCTCCTCCTCCTCCTCCTCCTCCTCCTCCTCCTCCTCCTCTTCTTCTTCCTCCTCTATACTTTAGTGTCAAGGGAATGAACCGTTGGACACCCAACTGCCTTAGTTGGTTGATGTGCGGGTGGCGTTCTTCAGTTATGGGACTTGACGGGACATGCAGGAGGATGAACAGAAGATCTGATTGGCAGGAGTGAATCTCGTATGCAAGTGCACCTTTTTCCTGCAGTTGGTTTGTGTTCAGATTGACAAGTGATTATGGCACCACGGTTACAGTGTGGTGGAGGAAGATAACTTAGAGGATGGAGAAGAAGGTGGATGAGGAGCAAAAGAGGAGGAGGAGGTGGAGGAGGAGGAGGAGGAGGAGGAAGAA